AATATTTCTGTGTCACATGCGGGCACCTCGAGATGGATGCCAGAACTTGCCTCTTGACTTTGAATTTGTGGCAGCTCTACTCTCGGATGTGGAGTAGGTGCAATCGCTTCTATTAGCTTTAATTGATCAGAAATTATAGCTTTTGTTTTTCGTACTGGTCTTAGCAGTTTTGTATAGTGCGTAAGCCATGATTTAAAATCGTGTGGTAGATCTGAATTGTCATAATCTACTATGGCGTCATGAGCCGTTTGGAGACCAGTCCAAAAATTGTCAATATTTTGTTTTTTTATTTCTAATAACGATTCAGAGATGTCTTGAATCGGTGTAGTGCAGTATATACGAGTTTTTCGGACTAGATAAATATAATATTTCTTGCGAACTAAATTTTTAATTTGTATTTTATTTTAAATATTTTGTTGTGAGTGTAATTTAAATTTCTTAATTTAATTAAGATCGCACTTTTAATTTAACAACTTTTATGTCCTTATGTTGGGATATTTAGGTACACCCTGATACACGGACTTGTGTGTACATATATTTATGTGCTCGTGAAATTGAGAGCTCGTTGAAGATATCAATACCAGAGATAAAAGGATGCCCAACTCGTCTCACACACCACAGAAAGCTTAATGGGGAAAATTCAAGAAATATACCCACTTCACTTTGCAAATATAAAAATTCGATTTACACAATCTCTACTACAGGATATCGTGTCACACACAGAACAGGAAGAAATAATTATTACGGAACATCAAAGAGCACATAGAAATAGTCGTGAAAATAAAACACAAATATTACGGAAATTTTACTTTGTGACAGACATCCTCCAAAACCACAGATACAAAACACTCCCATTCCGAAGTTTCCAGGAGAAATTGTACATATCGACATTTACTCGACAGAAAAAAGGCTAATACTCACGGCCATTGATAAATTTTCCAAATACGCGCAGGTGAAAATTATACAGTCTAAAGCAATAGAACATATTAAAAACCCAATAGGAGAATTAATGATCGCTTTCGGTATACCAAAACAAGTTATAGTAGATAATGAAAAATCTCTTAATTCTGCCACAATATCAACCTTACTCAAAGACCAAATGTCTATAAATGTTTATACCACACCACCCTACAGTAGCACCAGCAACGAACAAGTTGAAAGATTCCATAGCATCCTTTCCGAAATTATGAGATGCTTAAAAGCTAACAATATAGGAATCACATTCGAAGAACTATTATTCAAATCGGTGCAAGAATACAATGCATCAATACACTCAACACCAAAAATAAACCTTTAGCCACTTCTTTGGAAATAGAATTTTTACAGACCCCCAACACTTAGAAGAGCAAAGGAACGAAATTACTAGATTACTCAGGAAAAAACAGGAACAAGATCTTGCTTATCACAACAGTAAAAGAACAGAACCTAAAGATTACTCTCCAGGTGATATAATATACGCGAAAATAAATAAAAGAATTGGTTCAAAATTAACAAAAATTTAGAGAAATAGTATCCGAAAACAATAGAACAACTGTGAAAACAATATCAGGACGTGTAATACATAAATCCCTAATAAAACTTGAACTATCTTTTTAGGAGAAATGGATTCATTAAAACTTATAATTATTTCACTGCAATTACATCTTTACAAGCAGATGTAAAATTTTGGATTACAGTAAGGCTCAACTTGTTACAATAGACAACGGAAATGCAAAAATACAAGACGGTACCCTAAGACTGATACACCTCATTGACCTAGACCGTTACGAACATTTCTTAAGACAAACTTATGATGAAATAACGACACAAGTCCCTAAAGATCATTTCCTTTATCCTATCCTCCAACACGAACCCCAAACATTCGAAATCCTTAACACCCTTAAACCCATAGAAAACAGCAAAAGAAGAGTCAATTGACATCCTAGGAACGGCATAAAATATATAGGGATCTCCTGATCACAATGATCTTAATATCATAAATAATAATTTGAATAATCTAAACCAAAATAATAATAATCAAATAATTATTAACAATTTATTCGAAAAACGCATAAATAATATAACAAATATTGTCAAAAAATGCTAAATACTATAAAAAGACGAAGACATTATAACAGAAATAATGATAATCCACAGAATAGAATCAGATTGATAAAAGAGGAATTAATTAATATAAAATATGCCATTTAATGGGCAAAGAAGAATATAGTAAACTCAATAATTTTAAGCAATGACGAAATTAAACTTTCCATAAAGAAGTTAAAAGAAGAAAAATGCCTTTAAAAATGCCGAAGAAGCATTAAAATTTTCAAAAATAAATGTATTAAGTAAGAAATGACTATCTTGTACATGATAAAATTCCATAACATTATACGAAACATTTAAAAGAATAATTATAAGACCGGTTAAAAAGAAAATAATGTTATAATTAAAACCGATTATAAAGAAATTCTAAAAGGAAGAAATAAAATATACGGAATTAAAAGTGATTGTGAAAATATTAATGAACTAGCAATTTGTAAAGAAACAAATTTAATAGATTTAAGTAATGATGAATGTTTAAGTAGAATAGTAAATAGTCTAAATTCAACATGTATATTTACAAACGGGAATCACGTGCCAACAGTTGAAGAAATCAAAACAGTAATAATACTACTAAATCAATTCAATGGAAAGATAGAAGCAAATGGGACAACTCAAGAAGTAAATGGAACCCATGTTGTAATATTCTACAACACAACAATCAAAATTAACAATCAAATATTTGGCAATATTGAAGTAAAATCAATTGAAGCAATTACCGCAATTTTGCAACCAGCCCCACGGGAAAAAGAAAGAATCGAATTACTATCATTGGGAGCTCTAAAAGAGTTACACCTAACTAACATCAAACGAATAAATTTCCTCAAGAAAGCTGCGTTATCTATTGGCAGTCTAACATCGGTAGCTTTAATTACAACCATTATACTACTAACCTTGGTACGAAGAAGAAATATTAAAATAAACTATATCGAAAAAGACACAAAAAGGCCAAATATTAGTCAAGGAGTTTTCCCGCCGGTAGCAAATAACAATTTTCCAAATCATATAAAATTTACCGATTTACCTTTCTATTGATGATCGAGGACAATCATATAATATTTAAGAGGGGAGGAGTTAATACAGCAGTTCACACGGTCAGCCAATTCTCACCATCGGCAGAGAATGTAAATGAATAGAGAAGGAGCAAATGTTAAATGAAATCTTTTTGAGTACTAATTTGTAGTTCCAGATGAGGGAACATCGAAAAATATAACTTCGAAAAAGAAAAATACACCACACAATATGCGAATCCTATATGAAAAATCGTTGCGCATACCTATTTAGATTTATGTTTTCAATTTTTATGATATGACAAATTTATAATTATGAAAAGCCTTCTGAATTAAAAATCTGTATTATCGGTAAAAACCCCAGAATTCATAATAAAATAAACATTTAATAGGCTATTTTTCCAACTTATGTATGGGCGTTGCGTGAGTAATTGCTTATTGAACAAAGCATAACAATAAAACGGTGGCTAAGCGGCCGCGTTTCCACTTTTGAGGTGGCTGAGGTCGTAAGCGGGAAGGGGTTAAGCACGATCCGAATACGAACCTATCCGTTCGAGCCCTAAAACTCATGAAACTGAAATTTTATTTAATTTTTTTATTTTATTAATTGGAGTCTAAGCATATCATAATTCAATTTCTTTAATAGCATATTTTACCCCCTGATATAATTGAAATATATCAGGAAATATAGTACTATACTACTATATAAGTACTATATGCAGTGTGCAGAAGTAGTTAAAGATTTCTTATGAATGGCAATTTTATATACATTTTTTACTTTAATGCCATATAAAGTGCATAATATGCAAATATATAAATATTATTTTAACTCGCTAAGAGGTCATGTTGCCAATTCTCCTTTCTGAAGGGAACATCAGACAAATTCTTCAATTTCTGATTTTTAGCAAATGTTGTGAGGAAGCAGCTTGTGGGCAACATACAAATGCGAGGGACATGGTAGGATTTTCAGTGATACAAATTGAAATATGAAAACCAAATGTGGTTTACCAGGCGCACAGAAAAAATAGCGCGGCGCAGAGTTATGAACGAACGCACTTTGCTTTGAAGCAGACGCACGTTCCTTATGAATGAATTGTTGTCGTTGTAATATAAAATACTTAGAAAATAAGCCGCGAGTTTGCTTGAATATTATTGGCCGATGATGGTGCGTCTACGTTTTTTTGTCACTTGCGCGAATGTTTGATTTTTTGCGAAAGACATATTTAAGTACATACATATGTACATATGTGTTCATATATGCAAATATATTTGGACATGCGAATGAAGGAAGGCAATTTCAAGAATATTCACATATAGACATATGAATATTGAAGCAAGTAAACAACAATAGCTGTTTCAGTTCACAGATTAGACTTAAGAGCTTGAATATCGTTTGTGGTGCTGCTTGTATAGCACACTTCTTTATGGCAATGTAAAATATTTTGCCTAAGTTCATATCCTATCACATATTTTTATATACTCTTTTTTTATGTTTATAACTCTTTTTTATTAAATGATATTTTAGTTCTATTTTCATATTATTTCCCTCATTACTTATATTTTCTCTTCATAAGTCAATTATTTTCCTTTTTATTATTTTAAGTTTTGTTTATGCGCATATCAAAGAACATCTGTGCATATGTATGTATATACATTTTGCTTATAGAGTGGTGTAGTTCGTTTCGTACCCTGATAGTTGTGGTGAAATTTTATTTTCCAATTTGCGCGTTTTCGATGTTCCTCCATCGTAATTAACATTTTAGTACTGCTAACATTTGCTCCTTCTTTATTCATTTACGTTCTCTGCTGTTAGTACTCAAAAAGATTTCATTTAACATTTGCTCCTTCTCTATTCATTTACATTCTCTGATAGTACTGACTGTTAAACGAGCAATAAAATTACTGTCAATATATATCGATGTAAAAAAAAACACATATTTTTTTGTTTTTCAGACACATATGTATTAAGAAGAGTTAAAAAGGAAGATCATAACAGCTATGTGTAAATGGGGAATAAATCCAGTTTAATAATTATTGTTCAATTTATATTTTTTCCTGACAAAATAATCGTTATATTTTTATATTTTGCTAAATAAGAGTTATTTCATAGCTTTTATTTATTGCTCATAGAATAATGAATGAGTTTTATTTAACTCTTTTGCTATAAGAGTTGAAGAGTAAGTTTGTTTTTGTTTTGCCCTATCAAATAATAACTTAGCTTAGTATTATTTGTTAAGGAAAAACAAAAAACTCACCGCATATCTATTCATCTGTGAGAAATAAATAGAAGTTATGAAATAATTCTTATTTTGTAAGTGAAAAAAAAATCAAAACATAAATTTTTTTATTTTTACGTCATATATATCCGACCTTTCTTTCATAATAATTTTTTTAATAAAAAATAAAGCAATAACTGTTATTTTCTGTCTGGTTAAAAGCAAGGAAACTCTTTACGTTCTAATAGTGTTTTGTATCCAACTAATGAAAGCATCTACACGGGTGTAAACACCGGGGAAGCCCTCTTGTCCACACGGTGAGGGACCAAACGAAACTACACCAACCAAAAAGTATGCTTCTCTTCCATTAACAGATTGAGCAAACATTAGTGGTCCTCCAGAGTCACCGCGACACGTGTCAATACTTTTCTCACCGCCCGCACACATTTGACTGTTGCCTAACTCGATTCTAGTGTAAGTACGGTATTTTGCTTTGCACTTTTCCAGATTTTCACCTCTCACCAACGCTTTTAATTTCTTTTGGCTACTATTGGATGTTTCTGTTGCACCCCAACCAGCAATATCCATAGTAACGCCTTCATAATTACTTGCCGAAGAGTTTGTGGTTATCGGCAAACAAATAGGACTGGTGAAAGCATTGAAATTGACTCTTTCTTGAAGACGCAGTAAGGCTATATCATATGTTTGGGTTCTAACATCGTATAGTGGATGGCATATTTCTTCCTCAATATTTAAATTGATATGTGGACTCGAACAGAGTTTATTGCCCTTGCTATCAAATTTGCAATCGTTTTGTGTCTCTAAGTCCCATTCACCCAAACGAACTCCAGTTAAGCGCCAATGTGCAGGGAGTACACGCTTGCTAACACAATGTCCTGCCGTTAAAACGTAGCGGTCGTTAATGAGACTAGCACCGCAGTGAAGACCTTCGCCACCGCTCCCTGCAAAAAGAAAGCAACGAAAGGATATATGAAAATGGGTATGAATAAAAGTAGGTATAGTGGTTAATAGCTATTTCGTGTGCCCACTCACTGAAAAGAAAATACATATGTTTTAAAAAAAAAAAGTATAAGGTGCAATCAAAGAAAATCCATTTTCAATTCCAGACACAAACAAAAGCACTCGATATTATTTAAGTGTTTTCATAGTTCAATATATGGTACATATTATGTAATGAATAAAATGTAGTAGAGTGGTCGAGAAAAGTCTTGTGACTACAAATAGAATATTACTATTTAGAAGCTGATGAAAGTACGATATTAAGGAAATTTAAAAGTAGTAAGCAAGTTATATTTAATACTTTCATAATTCTCAAAGCCGGGAAATACTTTCAGGTTTTGAAAAAATTTTATATTAAACAAGAGAAAACGTTAACTTCGACTGCACCGAAGCTACAAGTATAATATCCTTCACACAATTTGATTCGGATCGTTCAATTTGTTTGGTAGCTTTATGATTTTGCATTATTGCCTTAGACAATAACCCACGCCAAATATCGTGAAGATATCACGTAAAATAAAAAAGTTTCCCATACAAGTACTTGATTCCGATTGTTCAGTTTGTATGGCAACTATATGCTATAGTGATCCGATCTATACAATTTTTTCGGAAATTCCATTCTTGTCTTAAATAATAATTCATGCCAAATTTCGTGAAGATACCTCGTCAAATGAAAAAGTTTCCCATACAAGCACTTGATTAAGATCGCTCAGTTTGTATGGCAGCTATATGCTATAGTGCTCCGATATTGGCCGTTCCGACAAATCAGCAGCATCTTTGGGAGAAAAGGATGTGTGCAAAACTTCAGATCGATAGCTTAAAAACTGAGGGACTAGTTCGCGTATATACAAACGGACGGACAAACAGACGGACTTGGCTTAATCAACTCAGCTCATCATGCTGATCTTTTATGTATTATATATATTTTTTAGGGTCACGTTTCCTTATGGGTGTTACAAGTTTCGTGGCAAACTTAATATACCCTGTACAGGGTATAAAGATATTTATCTTGATTTTAATAGGTCAGTTTGAATGCCAGCCACATTCTATAAATGTCCGATCTGAACAATTTCTACTTAGCTTTTAGCATTGCCTTCGGTCAATCCCATTTTCGTGAATATATTTTCACACATAAAAAAGTTTTCCATAAAAAAACTTGATTTTCATCCATTAGTTTATATGGCAGCTATAACATATGCTGTATTGTTTCAATATTAGCTCGTCAAGTTGATTAGTTACATATGTATGTACAATATTTATATGGTACTATTAGGGTCTCCGAAGTTTCATTCTGGGTGTTACAAGCATCGTGGCAAACTTTATTTACCCTGTTTAGGGTATAAAAAAGTTGCGTAAGAACTTATCATTCATTATTTCACGAAATCGTGAATGGATTACACTCATGTTTGATTTCTTATTACATTTTGCTTCATGTCCGAAATATTTATATTAAAATAAACTTAATTAACTCATGTGTGACATAAACTTAACCAAAGAGGATAAATTTATTATACAACAAGTAAGGAAGGGCTAAGTTCGGATGTAACCGAACATTTTATACTCTCGCAAAGTCAAATGGTATACTCGTTTGGGATTTCTTTGTGGATTGACTGATATTTTCGGTAGAAGGTCAACTATAGGCACTGGGGTCCACATATACAGTACCTTAGACAATTTTTGGTCAAAAGGTTACTTTAAACGCATTATTCACGCAAAGTTTTACCCCGATATAATCATTGTTACCTGATTTGCATAGTGGAAAGTGAAAGAATCAGATGGAATTGAAAATGGTGTTACATGGGAAGTAAGCATGGTTGTAGTCCGATTTCGCCCATTTTCGCACTATGACATAGAAACATGAAAAGAACGTTATACACCGAATTTGGTTGAAATCGGTTGAGGAGATCTCAAGATATGGGTTTTCACCTAAAAGTGGGCTGAGCCACGCCCACTGACTAATTTTGAACGCGGTTCCTATAAAGCCAATTTATACCATCTCAGAGATAAAATTTAATGTCTCTGGCGTGTTTAGTGCTTGATTTATCGCGCTTTTAGTAGTTTTTAACAGTACCGTTATATTGGGAGTGGGCGGAGTTGCCACCCGATTTCAACTATTTTCACACCGTCAATAGAAGTGCTAAAAAAATTTGCTTCTAGTGAATTTTGTTATTATAGTATTAGCGGTTTAGGAGATATGCACATTAAACCTATTAGAGGCGGGACCACGCCCACTTTTTAAAAAAAAGTTTTAACTGCAGATGCCCCTCCCTAATGTGATCCTGTGTACCAAATAACAGTCTTGTATCTTATTGCGGAGCTTAGTTATGGTAAGCTATTTGTTTTTGATTAATGGCGTTTTGTGGGCGTGGCAGTGGTCCGATTACGCCCATCTGCAATACCAACCGTCTCACGGTACCAAGAAACATGTCTACCAAGTTTCATAAAGATATCTCAATTTTTACTCAAGTTAGAGCTTGCACGGACGGACGGACGGACAGACAGTCACCCGGATTTCAACTCGTCTCTTCATCCTGATCATTTATATATATATAACCCTATATCTAACTCGATTAGTTTTAGGTGATACAAACAACCGTTAGGTGAACAAAACTATTATACTCTGTAGCAACAGGTTGCGAATAAATTGCCATAACTAAGCTCCAAAACAAGATAAAAGACTGTTATTTGGTACACAGGATCACATTAGGGAGGGGCATCTGCAGTTAAAATTTGTTTTTTAAGTGGGCGTGGTCCCGCCCCTAATAGGTTTAATGTGTATATCTCCTGAACCGAAAATGGGTGAAATCGGGGTACAAATCCGCCCACTCCCCATATAACGGTACTGTTAAAAACTACTAAAAGCGCGATAAATCAAGCACTAAACACGCCAGAGACATTAAATTTTATCTCTGGGATGGTATGAGATGACTTTATAAGAACCGCGTTCAATATTAGTCACTGGGCGTGGAACCGTCCACTTTTAGGTGAAAACCCATATCTTGGGATCTGCTTCGGCACATGACATTATTTTCATATCTCTATTTTATAGTGTGAAAATGAGCGAAATCGGATTACAACCACGCCTACTTCCCATATAACACCATTTTAAATTCCATCTGATTCTTTCACTTTGCACTATGCATATCAAGCAACAATGACTGTATCGGGATGAAACTTTGCGTGAAGAATGCGATTAAAGTATGGCACCTTGTGGCCAAAAATTGTCTAAATCGAACCAAAACTGTTCAAGCCCCTAGGTACTGAATATGGGGACCCCAGTGCCTATAGTTGTCCTTCTACCGAAAATATCAGTCAATCCACAAAGAAATCTCAAACGAGTATACCATTTGACTTTGCGAGAGTATTCATCCCAACTTAAATTTATTTTAAAGTTTTACCTTTTTGATGTTATATAATACATACTCAGAACGCTTGTTGTTAACCGTAACTTAAAATATTCATCTCGGCCAAAAAATGGAATTAAATCGCGATCATTTTCGCTATAATTTGGTTTAGGATCAGGTGGATTAACGCATCAATAGAGCATTGATGAACTTAATTCAATTTTCGCTTTTGAAGCTCCATCAAGGATGGATGATTAATCGATGGTATGGTGAATGCAATGGAGGTCGTAGATCATTCCAAAATGAATTTCGTGAAGGTCGTCCAAAATCAGTTGTTGTTCCGGAAACTATTGATGCTGTGCGCAAACTGAAATTGCAAGATCATCATGGGACCTATCGTGAGATAGAGACAACTATAGGGATTAGTGGGACCAGCATACATTCAATATTGCATGAACATATTATTGAAAAAAAAATTTGTTTATTTTGGCTCCCACACAATTTGTCAATCGCTCAACAAAAGGATCGTGACCATTTGTCGAGAGAAATGTTAAAAAAATACGATAATGGGGCTTCAAAACACGTCTATGACATAGTGACAGGTGATGAATCGTGGATTTGCGCGAGTGAAGCCGAAAGTAAATAGAAGTCGACTTAAGTATAGAAGTCGACTTAAGTACAAGTGTTTCAAGATTAGCCGAATCTAACAAAAGTTGTTCGCCCACGAAGCCCTTCTAAGCAAATGGTTGCCTGTATTTTTGGAAAAACGGGACATATCCACTAGAACAACGAAGAACAGTAAATTCTGAGTGGTACACAACCATTTGCTTGCCTGATGTCTTTCAAGAAATCAGGAAAACCAACCGCCGAAGACGGATCACCACGACAATGCGAGCTCCCACACATCGACTAAAACAACTTCATTTTTGAGCACTCAAAACATTGATTTGATGAATCATTCGCCGCGTAGGTCTAACTTGGGACCGAATGACTTCTTTTTATTCCTGTACGTAAAAAACAAGCCAAGAGGTCAATGTTTTTCGATACCTCAAGAAGCGGTTGATGTGTTTTAAGAACGCATGTTTTGGACCTCAATCAGAGAAGCAAAAGTTCTTCGAAAATTGGTTCAAACGCATGCAAAAGTGTATAGATCTTAATGGAGAATATTTTGAAAAACAAACGGATTTACGATGATTAATTTTTTTTTGTTGTTCTCTAATCCGGAAATATAAAAGGCAACCTACGTAGCTTCTAAAGGGCGCGGTTTTTATACTCTCGCAACATGTTGTACAGAGTATAACAGTTTTGTTCACCTAACGGTTGTTTGTATCACCTAAAACTAATCGAGTTGGATATAGGGTTATATATATATAAATGATCAGGATGAAGGGACGAGTTGAAATCCTGGTGAATGTCTGCCCGTCCGTCCGTCTGTCCGCCCGTCTATACAAGCTGTAACTTGAGTAAAAATTGCGATATCTTTATGAAACTTGATACACATGTTTCTTGGTTCCGTAAGACGGTTGGTATTGCAGATGGGCATTATCGGACCACTGCCACGCCATTAATCAAAAACAAATAAATAGCCGTAACTAAGCTCCACAATAAAATACAAGATTGTTATTTGGTGTACACGATCCCATTAGAAAGGGGCATCTGCAGTTTAAAATTTAAAAAAATTGGGCGTGGTCCGCCCAAATATGTTTAATGTGCATATCTTCAAAACCGCTAAAGCTATAATAACAAAATTCACTGAGAACAAATGCTTTTAGAACCTCTATCGACAGTGTGAAAATGGGTGAAATAGGGTGACGACCCCGCCCACTCCCCATATAACGGTACTGTTAAAAACTACTAAAAGCGCGATAAATCAAGCACTAAACACGCCAGAGGCATTAAATTTTATATCTGAGATGGTATAAGAAGACTTTATAGGAACAGTGTTCAAAAGTATATGATGGGCGATTTAAACCAAATTTGGTACATAACATTATTCTTATATTTATATATTATAGTGTGAAAATGGGCGAAATCGAATCACAAGCACGTCTATTTCCCATATAACACCATTTTAAATTCCATCTGATTCCTTCACTTTCCACTATGCGAATTAAGCATCAGTGATTGTATCGGGGTAAAATTTTGCGTGAATAATGCGTTTAAGGTATGCTACCTTGTGATTAAAAATTGTCTAAATCGAACCATAACAGTTCAAGCCCCTAGGTACTGAATTTGTGGACCCCAGTGCTTATAGATAACTTTTTACCGAAAATATCGGTCAATGTGTAAGATATATAATTTAATTCCATATAATAAAATAAATAAATGAAACTCTCGATAATTGTATGTCTTTCTATCAAAAATGGGTTGAATCGGATCAATACTTCCTTTAATATAACATTTTGCCAACACCTGAAGTAATTTCTCGGGCTTTGATCCTTGCAAGTTGCGAGAGTACGAAATGTTTGGTTACACCCGAACTTCCTTACTTGTTCTAAACTGAAATTTAGTGTCTAAAAAGTGGCACAAACTCTTAACAATAAAACAGTTTTGTCTGATTTTTCCTGATAATTTTCAAAAGTTATAAATTTTGTTAAGGCAAAATAGGAAATAGAAGGGACGGAAAATTTGGCGTTTGCCTAGGGCGGTAAATTGTTTCGGGCCAGCCCTGATTATATGGGTTTCACGGTAGTTCTATAACATAATTGCGTCAAGATTTCTCGCGAATTAGTCAACCGATCTTAATGAAATTTGACACAGGTCTTCGAGATATAATTTCCAAGGTCTTGAAGAAGGTTGTAGATGAACGGAATCGGACCATTGCCCGCGCACGAAATTCCGTAATCAAAAACTTATATGGTAAAGTACTAACTAATAAAAAACTATATTTTGGCACAGGGAACCGTAATAGGAAGGGTCATTTGTAGTTTAAATTTTTTTTAAAAACTGACACCACTTTTCTTTAGGTGAAATCGTACATACATATCAGAAACTAAGTCACCAATTTTAAACATATTTGGTGCATTACATTATTACCGTGTTTTTATGTTATATTGTGAAAATGGTCGATATCGGACTATAACCACGCTTCCGAAATTCGTAATCGGACCGTAACTTCTTGAGCCTTCAGATACAGAATATGGACCTCAGTGCCTATATGCCTGTGTCAAAAATCGATCAAATCGAGCCAATATTTCCCTTAGCCGTCATATGCCTAATATAAAGATTTTCAAGCATCCAGCTGACTATAACGTCAAATGTGAGTCATCTTAATCAAATTCATAGAGCTTCTCTTTCTAATAACAGTGTGGCCTTTTAAACACAAGGATCTAATCGGGTGAATGCTTCCCCTAGCTCCCATATGTGTGATATTTTAATGAAATTAAGTGGATAAGTTATCTTAAAAATATTGGAACTAAGTGCTGCAAATAAATGAATTGAACCTTGTGCTAAGATTCATATCCCAAATATAATGATTTCTGATCCTCTGGCTGATGTTGTCTTTATATACCCAATATATATAATTTAGCCTCTTTGAGTTTATATCACAAATAACCTATTTGAGTTGTGAGTTGATTGTGTTTAATTGTAATCTATATACAGTTTCGCCGAACAATGAATTTCGAACTTCATCGCAAGTTTGCCAACACATTTATCATGACTACTTTGTTGAATGTTGGATGCATTTTCTATCCATATGATAACGATAAGTGGATTTTTCTTTTTTTCTCAGACTATATCTCTTTTTTAATCCGCTGGTGAAATCTTGTGAAAAAAGGGCATGCTACATAAAGCCCAGATCTTGAGCGCAATCTTACATTAAGACCAGAAAGTCTCCGGAAATTTTTGGCCCACAATTCCGGCTGTTTACGACGGATGTTTTCGCGCAAACGCCTCAAAACGCTCAAATAATAATCTTTATTGATGATGAACCCAATCGCGAAGATCGAAAATAAACAATTTTCAGAAACTTTCTGTAGAATCTGAGCAATTTATCCAAGCATCAAAAAAAGGTAAAAATACGAATACTTTCTACAAATGATGAAATTGTTCCTTTAGATTAAAAAAAATAGCAAAAATATAACCTGTTCTAAAAGGTACTGATTTCGGTGCTGAAAGTTTGGAATCAGAATAAAAGTGACGACATTTGCTGAACGGAAAGCTGAAATTAAAAACCTTATGAATACAGGATTCCATTCTAATGAAGTTATCTTTATTTATACTTCAAATAAAGTACTATATACAAAACTCAATTTTAAATATCCATGCAAATGTTCGTGTTTGGTTGTTTGCTATTTTTCTTACCTTTAGCGTATATAAGCAAAGCTGTCCATGGGAATTCATCAATATCTGTCGCAGATCCACCAAAAATTCGTTCTTTTAGTGGAATATTTCCACAGCTCGGTGGCAAAGGTAAATCTCCACGAGTATTGGTGGGTGGATCGGGGCAGCACACCTAAACGTAGGATTACATTCATATATACATACATATATTAGCAATATTAAACTATTATAAAAATTAGAGGTGAAAAGTAGACCTTGTGTCCCACACCACGAATCTGATTAATGTAGAAGATTTGATTTACAGTGTAACCTTGATATAGCGAATCTGAAAGGACTAGAAAATATTCATTATATCGAGTTATTCGTTACAGTGAGGTTTGTTATATTGAGGTTAACTAAAGGATTTTTGTCTACAAACTTGATTATTTTTCGATTCCCTGCAACACTTAACGAGCACCTTTTACGTTTTTCAGCCATTGCTGAATTTACTGGATCAAAGGACGAAGTTTACAATTAGTTTTTAAAAAAATTGTTTTACGGAAGATTGTAGGTAGTGATCGTAGTTGCAGCGAAAGAGGAATTAAAAATTTGAGCTTTGCATCCTCAGCTTCTTGGAAAAGTCGCAAGTAGCTGCGAGCCAATCAAATAATCAGCTTTTGCCAGCTAGTGGAGGGAGTGAGCAAACTATAGTCAAAAAGAGATTAACTAAGGGGGGGATGTTTTTGACTACAGTCTGACGAGAAAAATAGTCATTCATTATATGAAGGTTGTGGATCCAAAAATTCGTTAAGTAAAGGTCAAAAATAGTTTCGATCTCTATTTTGCTGAGTCGAAAAATTCGTTATAGTAAGGTTGAAAAACAAAAATATATTCGTAATACAAAGGTATATTTTACATGAGCTCTTATGGGCAGTGCTAGGGGATTTTGAAAAATTCGTTATATTGAGGCTCGTAATATCAAGGTTTCACTGCAGTTAGATTGACTTTTTCAGTGCATAACCTGTAATATATATTAATATGGTGCCAAATATGATTTTAATTGAATGATTAATTGTTACGTAATATGTTTATACCCTGAGCAGGGTATATTAGCACCAAAATGAAATATCGAAGAGCTTATAATGTATATATGTACGTTACTTATCGAAATCGTTGATATCGGACCACAATAGCATATAGATACTATACAAATTAACCGATCGAAATCAATTTCTTGTATGTAAAACTTTTTAATTTTATAACATACTAATTTCCGAAAATATTAAACAGATCGTATCACTATCACTAATAGCTACCATACAAACTGACCGATCAAAGTAAAGTTATTGTATATTGGAATTTTTTATTTGACAATATACAAATATATTGTTCAGATCGGACCACTATAGCATATACTTTTTCGGATTTAGTTAATTATGTAGTTGCTAGCCGACGTTAACAACTTTTCTTGTTTAACATAAAGTTTTTCCACACCTGAAAGTATTTCCCGGGCCCTGATCGTTGCGAAATCCGAGAGTATAAAATGTGCGGTTACATCTGGAATTAGACCCTCCTTACTGAAAGGTTCTACCATAGAAATAAGGTTGAGTTTCTATTTATTTAATTAAAACTAGTTTGTCTGCACTCGAATTTTTGGCATTTTCTAATAATGTTGTTTGATTTTATTGATTGTAACATATAATTTGAAGGTTGCAATAAGGTTAATTCTCTTACCTGTCGATTGCCTTGTCCACACACGCTTTTGGCCAAGAAATTTCTCTCCCTTGCCGATAAATTGTCTTTAACTAATGGTAATAATGAACCACATTCAAATATAGATTTGCAATGTCCGTTTTTGCCATTCGGAGTTTCGCAGTGATCTGTGCAATATATGCAAATTTTAGAGTACAGTTCAATATAAAATCATGTAAATCGATAGAAAAAAACGAATATAAAAATAAGTAAGGAATATATCAGGTATATGGGGATTATGTAAGTAGTGGCAAGTTTTACTCAGTTTTGACTCAATGGCACACTATTATCGGGAAAATATTCTCTTTTGAACTCAATAGTATACCTCAGAGTTTTACCGATATTTTTTTATATTTTACATGTTCGATATCTATGGACCTGAAAAGCTAAGGTCTGAGATACTATTTGCTCAAGGTTTTATTACCACAACTTTATTGGGGCTTGATTTAATATCTGTAAACTGAAAGTAGTAAGCGTGGTTGTTGTCCAATTTTGCTCATTTTTACAAAATAACAAACGAATGTCCCATTGCCAAATTTTCATACCGAATCCTATAAAGCTTTGCCGTACCATCCCGGGTGTAAAATTAATTGTCTCTGACGTATTTAATATTAAGTTTTTTTCAATATAACCGTTATAAGGAGAATAGGGTAATGGTCTGACATTTAACCCATTTTGACAGCACATGAATAAGTGTTAAAGGGACTCCTTTTAAACAATTTTGGTTGAAATAGCTTTAGTTGTTTTGTGAACATTTTGTAAATATGTTCAATAAACCTATTAAAGAGCCGAGCCCTGCCCACTTTTTAAACATTTTCAGCCTGCAGATGACCTTTCCACTCCTTGCAGCAAATAACGGGCTTGTATCTTAATTTGAAACTTAGTTTTAGTTAGCTTTTATACTTGTATATTTTCGCTTAATGGCATTTTGTAGCCGTTGAATGGTCCGATTCCATCTTTAATATCAACCCTCCATGTGTGCCAAGAAACACGTTAAATCAATTTTTACTCAAGTTATCGCTTGCATGGGCGGACAGACAGTCACTCGGTATTCTACTCGTCTCATCATGCTGATTATTTATATATATAATTTTATATCTATCTCGATTAGTTTTCGGTGAACAAACCTGTTATACTCTGTAGCAGCATGTTACGAAAGTGAAATCATTTATGTATCATTTGAGTTTACTAGGTTGATTTAAATATAAATATCTTAGACAACATCTGAAGGTATTTTCCCGGGCTTGATGCGAAATGTGAGTATGAAATGTTTGGTTACTCCCGAAATTACAACTTCCTTACTTGTTTCTTAATGATACATTTGAACAATAGAATAAAATAAAGAAAACAAGTAAGGAAGGGCTAAGTTCAAATGTAACCGAACAGTTTATACTCTTACAACTTGCAAGAATAAAATCCGTCGAAATACTTGTACCATTCTCATAGGCGTTAGCAAATCTTTATATTAAAAAATGTTGCGAAAAAATTCAACATTCATTATTCGAAATCGTGAATGGATAACAATCAAATTTGGTATCTTATTAACTTACGAGTATATTGATGGTCATGAACTCACTTAGTTTTATTAATATATTTTAATCGCGTCAACGGAAATTATTTTAAAAACATAATTAGAAATATGTGATATAAACTCAACCGAAGAGGCTAAGTTTATAATATTGAGTTGATGGGCAGAACGTCAACCAGAGGATCGGTTTTGATTATATTAAGGATATCAGACCAAAGTCTAAATCAATCTCATTCATATCACACATTTTGACTAATCTGTACGGTTTAAAGTCAGGTGGAAAGACGGAAATCGTTATATTGGGGGCAGAGAAAAGGACGGGCTGATTGCATTAATTATTATTATCAATTATTTGGACATTACTCAGGAATGCTTGAAAACATATTTTCAAGAAATTTTATAAATATATAACTCACACACTAAACGACATATTCGTCATAAGGCTTGCTAGAAAAATGAAAAATCATAATATGTAATATATGGGTGTGGGGATAACTCGTATATATGGTATAAGGCCAATCGGAAGTTGAAAATTGTATATTAAGCATAAGGGGTCTAAGGGATTTATTCACCCAATTTATCTATATTTGGCAATACCACAACTATTAACATGAAACATACTATTAATATACTTCCTGATTTTTATTAAGGTACCTCACATACAATTATCAATATATATGGAGTAGTCAGTCTGATGCTCGTAAATCCTGATATTGGTTATTAGGGGGCTAAGTTAAGTTTTCATTCAATTTTATCCATTTTAGAGCACGAAGATACTCTGTTATGATTAAAACACGCCCTCTAATTTTCATTGCGAGAACCACATATTGGCCGATATATGCGGTATAAAGTCACTCGGAAGTTTAAAAATCTTTATGTTAGGTATATGAGGGTTACGGGAGGTATTGGCCCGATTCAACCCATGACTTGACACTGACACACAGGCATACTTCTATCAGGAAAGGATTTGCTCCGAACACAGATTGATCGATATATTCGATAAAATATTCACCTTAGGAACTGGGGTCCACATATTCGGTATCTGGGGGCTTGAACATTGAACAGTTGTTGTTCGAATTTGACAATTTTTGGTCATAAGATGGCCTACTTTAAGCGCACTCTACGGGCAAATTTGATTCCGATACATTCATTGGTATTTGATTTGCCTACTGGAAATTGGCAGAAGCAGATGGAATCTAAATTTGTAGACCGACTTCGCTCTGGTACCATCTCGGGTAAACATTTTATGTCTCTGGCGTATTTAGTTATTGATTTATCGCGCTTTTAGTACTTTTTAGTGGGCGGGGTTATCATGCGATTTCAGGTTAAGGGTGTTTAAGGGACCATCCGGAATGAATTTGGTTATTGTATCTTAAGTGTAGATGAAATCGGTCCTTCCCCTAGCCACAATACACCCAATATAATGACTTTTGTTCCTCTGAATAAGATATTTTAATTATTATATTAGTTTGTATATTGTATCATATTTTATCGCAAAGATTCGGTGCGTGTTTATTACCTAGATTTCCACTTACTGGCTTAAGACAGCAAACCTGAAAGTTAATGAAAGCCGAAATAGTATATTTAATGTATTTTTGTAGAAATCTTAAATAAAGCTAAATATATATGTACTCTTATGTGAAGTTTTAAAACAGTATATTTCATATGACATTTAATTCATAAAGATGCGTGACTATCTCAATGACTCTAAAACGTTGTATGCTTTATTTTCAACTTGATACAATCACGAATCAAACAGTGTTTGTTGATTAAAATTAATAAATATTGAATTTGTTTATAAATATGTTATATTTATATCTTGGGAGGTCTCATTCAAAAAATTAATTTGATATTCTTATATGCCAACGTTTGTTTAACGATGAAAAATTATAACTAATATATTTGGAGTGTGGCTATAGTTGACACAATGTAATTTTAACAAATCGCCCAGATTCGGAACGAAATTAACATTTTTTAATCTGCTCAATAGTTATTTTATGAATATGTTGAATAAATATGTTTGTACTCACCAGAATATTTTTACCAAGTGAACCGCATCTGCTCTGCCTTAAAAATGTTATATCCACTTCTTCTAAATTAGGTTTAACGGCCATGTTATATAGTTCAGTGCATTTTTGTATTAAAATACATTCGCCGATTTTGCCATTTGGCGTTTGGCAAGCTCCATAACCCGTTTCTGTTTAAATGATAAATCAATATGAAATTTTCATATGTCGATGGACCTGCACCTTTGTGATTAATGTGTATGTACAATATATTAATCAAATATTCAATTTATATGAAATTCAAAACGATTATGTCTTAAATGAGGGAATTTTCCTACTATGTGCGAGTTATTTTTATTAAATTTCATTGAGTTAAATTGTTAATAAATATAAATAAAATTAAATCGTATAGTTTGAAAATATTATTGGCGCACTGGTAGGATCTACGAAAAAGATCATTTAAACGAATCTACTATTAAAAATTATTAATAAGTATAATAATTAAAGGAAAGTTAATAAAAAAAAAAACTCACGCTGAATAAAATACAATATAATGTTCAATGTCATTGTAAGGCCGTTTAATGTCATGTAAAGGTCAGCTTATTGTGTTCAATATCATGCCAATGTCAATGTAAGTAAAGAACAGAATAATGTAAAAGGAAGAGACCCACAAAACAAAAAAGAAATTAAATAAAAACGGTTCCAGTGATTTACACGAAGATTAACTAAATAAGAGAACATGCTCAAACATTTCTCTTAGTGTCAATTTTGCCGATATCTATTACTTAACTTTGTTAAGATAATTTGATATAAAAAACAAGAACAACAACTATTTATATTAAGAACTTTTCATTTCGCAAACTTTTTTTAATTATTAAACAATGCAATAAACAAAATCATGAAAATGTGCCAAAAAAGAATTTTTGAAAAACAAGTAAGGAAGGGCTAAGTTCGGATGTAACCGAACATTTTATACTCTCGCAAAGTCAAATGGTATACTCGTTTGAGATTTCTTTGTGGATTGGCTGATATTTTCGGTAGAAGGTCAACTATAGGCACTGGGTCCACATATTCAGTACCTAGGGGCTTGGAACACTTTTGGTTCGATTTAGAGAATTTTTGGTCACAAGGTGGCATACTTTAAACGTATTATTCACGCAAAGTTTTACGCCGATATAATCATTGTTGCTTGATTTGCATAGTGGAAAGTGAAAGAATCAAGTGGTATTTAAAATGGTGTCATATGGAAAATAGGCGTGGTTGGAATCGGTTGAGCAGATCTCAAGATATGGGTTTTCACCTAAAAGTGGGCCTATAAAGTCATCTTATACCATTTCAGAGATAAAATTTAATGTCTCTCGCGTGTTTAGTGCTTGATTTATCGCGCTTTTAGTAGTTTTTGACAGTACCGTTATATGAGGAGTGGGCGGAGTTGCCACCCGATTTCAACTGTTTTCACACCGTCAATAGAAGTGCTAAAA